TGCTTACCTATGTAGCTCAGCAGTCCTGCCCCTCCCCTGGGGAAAGTTGTCCTTGTTCAGATGTCATTAACTGCTCTATGTCCCTTCCCCAGCAACCTTTACAGATGTTCTCTAGGATTTTCATACAAAATAGCAAAACAACAACTCTTTCATATTAAGAAAGCATAATCTGAGGGCGTTGTATAAATAGTTTCAACTACAATGTTTTTCCCTTGTGAAATTTTAAGAAAATATCTTGTTAACACCTAAAAGATTTTCTACTTCTTTGCTGTTGATATTTTTAGGCTTAGTGGCTGAAATTTTAATGTAAAATATTTGCATTTGTCCTTATGACTAACTTTTGTTTCTAAATTGTAATACTTGTAATATTTCAAAGGGAATTTTATTAAACTTGGATTTGGATGTATATTTAGCAACATAAGGTACTTTTTTGGGGGAAGTGCAGCCTCATTTTTCAATAAAATGTTGGTTATTTCAATGTTGCAGTATATTTTTTCAGTCTGCAGGGTATTTTGTATGTATGTCCCCCCCCAAAAAAACTAGACATTTTTGTACCAAATTGTTTTTCTTGTTAACTCTAATAAAAAGGGGTGCATAAAGATGGAAACAAACATAACTGCTTTTAAAACAAGATCACGGAAGTAGAACAATTTGAGGCAATAGTGAGGTCTGAAGTAATACTACCCTTGTGGGCTGCTAAAATAGAGATGGAGGTTTTAGGAACTGAAGAGTTGGATGAACTGGGAGGCCAAAATATTTGAAGAGATATCAACATAAATCCTGAAGTCTCAGCCTAATGAAGATAGGCAAATGGGTGGAGAAAACTGTGAGCCAAGTACTGAACTCTTTGAGAAAAAAAGAAAGAGCAATCTAGATGTTGGATGATGCCTGTAATGAGGTTCTGGACAGGGTGATAATGAGGGATGGAATCAACTACAAAGGAGTGGCTGCTGAAGGATGCTAGCAGAAAAATCAGCAGGAATTAGAAGTGGTCAGCAGAGCATGAGAGAAAGAATGGGTCAGTGCTAGAGAGGATGTGATGTCTTCGGGAGAAAGTCATGGTCCTACACGGGCAGAAAAGACTATCAAAGAGATCTAGAATGTAGAGGAATTTTTTTTCTAACCCAGTGGGGGTTTGGAGAGGAAGGACTAAGCAGGATTGGGATGAGCAGATGATAAAAATAGCAGGTGAAAAGGATTTCTGCCTTGGCAGATGGCAGCTATGAAGAACAAGATTAGAAGTGGAAAAAGGAATTTGATACAGGATACAGGACACAGGAAGTATCAAATCTAGAGGTTATAGACTAAATCAGCAGCAAAATTCTAATTAGAAATTTGGTTTGAAGGTGCTTCTGCTAATGGTATCTCCCAGGTAGAACTCTCTTAATGGACTGGAGTGGGGGCAAAAGAATGATTTTTGTGGTGGGGAAGTTCAGGTAGTAAAGGAGAAGTGTGCAGTTGCTATTTGAATTTGAATTCATTTGAATTGAATGACAGTAGAATCAAATGCTATGTCTGTATCAAAATGAGGAACCATGACCAAGCTGGTCTGGATTTGAGAGAAAGTCTGATAAAAAGCCCTTTCTTTGAGCAGCAAGTACATTAAATAGGAACATAGGTTTACTAATGATGCTATTCTCAATGCTTGTTCTGCAGATTGTTATTATTCTACATCTAAAGGCAAATCTTCTGCTATGGATTCTGTTTTGGATTTCAATATTGTGGACTAAGAACAAAGAAATTAAACATATAGGAACAACAATCCTGATACACTCCTGTGTATCTATTAAGTCTCATTTAAAATTTAGATCTCAGAGATCTGTACTCCAGAGTATTTGTGTAATATTGCTAATCAATGAGTGAAATAAGTTACAATTTCTCCTATCATTTCACTACTGTGGTTCAATTCTTTCAATAAGTGAAAGAAAATCATAGCAATTAAGGTAATTAAAACAACAAAATAAGTCAGGCAGCATATAGGATAGTATTTTTTTATGTTGATGAAATTGAATAGTTCTAAAGCATGCATGATTGTTCCCCAGTGTAGTCAACTGAACACTATGTTCCGGCTTACACCTCCTACTTTCCAAATTTGGTCTCTTAAAATAATTATTTTTAAAAAATCAAACACATAAAGTTGCTATGTGTGTTTAAGTGCTCAACAAGTATGCAAAAGGAATCTTTCCTTGTTGATATAGACAATATGGACCACAGTCCAAAAGACAATTTATATGTCACTTGTCATAATACTACCTGTCTTAAAATGCTTAGCATATACTTGGCACATAGTAGGTGCTTAATAAATGTTTACTGAGCCTTATTTTACAAGGCTCAGAGTCAGTCTTTGATTCTGTATTATAACCTTTAAAATCCTATAGCTAGTAGCACTTTAGCAAAATTCAAAAACACATGTTATGGCAGTATTTCTGGATCACTATACTGGGAAACAGTACTGATAATGAAAAAGTGATCATGATCCTAGTATGACTGATTTTGTCCTGCTGTACCCTCAATCTGTAAGATAAGGGCATTTAAGTCTGTGTAGTAAAACAGTCCTCAAAATAAGTGACTACTAAGTTTGTGTTCAAGCTAGTTAATGGCAACAACTGCTTGAAAAGAATAGACAAACACATATAGGAACTATATAAATACAATTACAAAATGCTCTTTACAGAAATAAAGAGGAACCTAAATAATTGGAGAGATATCAATTGTTCATGGATGGGTCATATCAATAATAAAAAATAACCATATTTCCTAAATTAATTCAACAGATTTGCTGCTATATCAAACTACCAAAAGGTTACTAGACCTACAAAAAAAATTCCAAACTAGAGCTAAGACAAAATTCAACTGAAGTGAAGGTCAAGAATTTTTAGAGTAATAATGAAAAAAAGTGAGGTTGTAGGTTAGATATATCTGTAGAAAAGTGTAGGAAATTGGACTGAATGTATATTGTCTTAAGGATCACTCCTAGAATTTGCTTTTTTAAAAATATTTATACTATCAGTGGTTCTGGCTTCGGAACAAATTTTTGGTTAAGGGTCTTTGCCAATAATAGGTTTCTGCTTTTTTTATGGAAATAGTATGAAAATTTAAAAATCATTATTTTTAAAAAACAGAAAAAAGTGAGAAGGAAAAGAACCTAGCAGTACCCAGTCTCAAACTATATACTACAAAGCAATAAATATTAAAATTGATTCTGGTTAAAAAAAGAATTAGAAAAATTAGATAGGGAGAACAGATTAAGTTCACAATATCAGAAACAAACTTATATGTGTAGTTTTGGTGAGACCCAAAGACGCCAACTACTCGGATAAAGACTCACTCAAAAATGAGTGCTCAGAAAATTAGAAAGCAGTCTTACAGAATTAGGTTTAGACAAATACTTCACACCATATACCACAATAAACACCAAACTGATACAGTACATAAACATAAAAGCAACATCATAAATAAATTAAAGGAGTAGAGAAGAAGATTCTTTTCACAATTATAGACAGGGGAAAAGTACTTAACCAAACAAGGCAGAGATTTAAAGGAGATAAAATGACTACTTCTGATTAAAATATAGAAGATTTTGTACAAACAAAATCAATGTAGTTGAAATTAGAAAAGAAATAGATAGCTGGGGAAAAAAATCTTTGGAGAAAGTTTCTCTGATAAGGGTCTGATACCTAAGATAATTAAAGGACTTTAAGATAAGAGCCATTCCCCAAGAGATAGATGGTCAAAGGATATGAAAAGGCAATTCTAAAGGGAAAATATCTAACCTAAGAACAAAAAATGCTCCATTTCACTAACAATACATAATGAAAATGAAAACAACTCTGGTTCTCTCACCTATCAGATTGACAAATACAACCCCTCCCCCCCCCAAAAAAGGGAAAATGACAATTTTTGGAGGGGAAAACTTTACAGCTAAAAGGGACATAAGAGATGAAGTAATTCAAACTAGTTTATATGTGAAGAAACTAAGAAGTAAAATAACTTGCCATGGTTAAACCAATAACTGGTGGCAGAATGACTACTAAAACTCAGAACTCACAACTCCCAGATTCTTTCCACTATACCATGTATAAATTACAAAAACTTGGATGGTGGTGACTGGCTCTAAATATCCACTGACCACAGGAATGGAAAATGAAAAATCTGCAGAAAGTTATATTCCATGTGGCAGATTTAAGGCTTAACTACAAAAGAAAACCGCTAAGATTTTAGCTCTTTTAAGAACTAGTTTTGCTCTGTCTAGATTGATGACTAATCTCATCTACAAATAAAGAGTGGCTGAAAAAGGTGAAGGATTCTTCTTTTTCTTCACATAAATTCAGATTATTTTTCTTCCTGTGTGAAACAAGTTCTCACTTTCTGGTACATTCAACTTCATAAACTTTATTTATACATTTAATCAATTACACATGATTCAATTTACATACATCTGTATGTCCCATAGGTTTTTCTCTTTCAAATGCCAAAATAATTTCCAAGAAGCACCTAGTGTAAAGCGAACTTCAAAGAACCTCCGGATAAAACCTCATTTAAGAGTCTTTAGCATTTTCCTACAGTCATGACTTGACTGTAATGTCCCTAAACTCTACACACCTTCTATGTAGTGTAGTTTACTTTGTTTACAATGACCAAAAGGTTCTCTACATGGTACTGAACATGTTCTCAACATGGTACTGAACATATTACTAACTGAATTTAATTATGTCCATCAATGTGGCACTAATGAATACTATATGGTACTAATGAACTAGTGAGTGCTGTCCCCAAAGCATGTCTAGATGGACTAACCAGTGAGTTATGCTGAATAACATCAATTTTTTGTAAATTCACTGATATTGAAGAAAATCCTATAGTGATTCACTTCCAAATCTGTTTGTTTAATCCAGGTCAGGTTTAAATCAGGGCACATCTACACATTCAAATGGCCTTCAAAATCTGTCCCTAATCACGGACCCAGCAACACTCATGTGAAAGGCCCCATTTATACTTACCTAGATGACAGAGAATCGTACAGATCATCCTCTTCCTCAAGGCCAGTGATACTTGAGATACCAGATGGTTTCATTTCTTAACTGTGGTCCAAATAGAGGGTTGAGCTGGGCCAGAATAGCAATTAGCCAACTGCAAAATGGGGGGTGGTAAGGGTGGATGGGAAAGGGTATTGGGAGGAGGGAGGAAAAATTGAAATCATATTAGAACCATGACCACTTGCATGTATAAGTCTTTGATAACAAACACATCTCTTAATACCACATTAGGGCAAATAAACCATTTCTCTGACAAATCATCAATAGCCTTTATGCCAGACTTCATCGAGAACACTATACTGAAGAGGATGTATTCTAATTGTGGTAAAAAGGACTGTTTTCCCCTGCCCTGTCTGGCACTAGGCAATTTCATATAGTACCTCTTCATCTGGGAGCAAAAGTCTCAACTTTTTCCTCTTTGTCTTCTCTAAAAATCTTACGTCCTAATATTATGTACTCCCTGAAGTATTCTCCAGACAAAATGTACCAAGTTCTTCTGTTGATCTTTACCTGGTTACATTTTTCTAGATGTTTTTCAGTCTGTCAATGTCCTTCCTAAAATGTGGAGATTGTAGAATATAATTCTCCAAAAGTGGTTCAACCAAGGTTGAGCACTGCAGAAAATAACCTCAGTTGTTTTGGAAATTAAGGCTCTAATGTAGCCTATGAGTTCATTTGCTTGTTGGTTACATGTCCACTACCGGACTTGCGGTTCACCAAAAACTGCAGATATTTCTAGGTGAGTATGCTTCCCTTATCTTATACTTCAAAAAAATCAATTTCATAAATGTAAGACTTCACATTTATTCTTTTTAAATTTCATTTTATTAGATTTTGTCCAATGTTTTAGCCAGCTCACATTGTTTTAGATGCTGACTATGTTAATGTTAACTACCATCTAAATTATCCTTACCAGCTTTGTGTCATCTGTAGATTTGATAAGCAAGTCAAGTCTTTATCAAAGTCACTGATAACAATCCTAAACAGTAGAGGGTCAAGAAGAGATCCCTGAGGCATTCCATCAGAAGTTTTGTTTTTTGTTTTTCATTTTGACCTCATCCATTATTAACTTTTTGGTTCCTACCATCTTGTTAGATGCTTTGATGAACTCTGGTTAACCTATACCACTACTCCAACTGGCCAGTCTAAAAGAGAGAATTCAATTCAATTCTGGCATGATATGTGCTTGAACAAGCCATGTTGGGTTCTAGTGATCACTGATTTCTTTTCTAAATGTTCACAAAATATCCCTTCAATAAAAGATGCTAAATTTTGCCAGGAATTGAAGTCAAGATTACTGACCTATAGTCAGTAGATGCTATTCTTCTCCCTTCTTCGGAAAATCTGGGCAACCTTCCTTTTATCCTGTAACTCTTTTCTCATTCTTTATAACCTTTCAAAGACCCAACTGACAGTGGCACAGAAATCACATCTACTAACTCTTTCAGCACACCATGGGACATAAATCATATGGGCCTGATGACTTGGGACTTACTATGCACAGTTTGTGCAGTCTTATCTCCAACTTTATCTTGTCATTCTTGTTCTGTCTTTTCTAATCCAAATATTAATCACTCTAGTGAGAAAACAGAAACAAACCAAAAGGTACATGGTTCTGTTTTCTTTGTCATAAAGACATCTACCCTGAGCAATGGTCATATTTCTTCTTTGATCCTTTCCCTTTCTAAAATATTGCTTTAAAAAAAAAAACCCAACAACTCAGTATGGGGAGAAACCAGAGTACATAAAATAGCTGTGCTGACCTCTTCCAAACTGGTATATGACATTCAATTCCTGAGGAAGGGGAAAATTTTCTAGATAAGGCCAAACTCCAAAAGGATTTGTCTGGTTAGACTTCTTTTATTGCAATTTGCTATCATTTTGGACAAATGGGATGATGTATATAAAATGTTTTGAAAAAGTACTATATAAATATTAGCTATTATTTTCATAATAACTTTTCTGATGACGGTCATAGTAGTATCAGTATAAAAATCCAAAATCCAAGGGTCAACAAACAAATTACAATCATCACGTGTACGGCTGCTTACAAGAATCTAAATCTATCTGCCACATCAGAAACCGGGTGCCCAGAGCCAGAAACAAAACTAAGTAAAACAACTCCACCCCCATCTTACCCCCAGATACACATACAAAGAATAAGGTTTTGTGGTAAGAAATAAGGCACCTGGGGAAATCATTCCAAAATAGATATCTTATGCTGACTCATTTTTTTTTCAAATAAAAGTTTATGTAGATAAGATGGATTTGGCCTTCTGACTGATGTATTAAACAAACAAAATATCTCAGATATGTAGGCTAAATTTTTAGCATCTACTGAATGTACTGAATGCTGAGAGAAAGAGAGAGAGAGCAAGAGATCAAGAGAGAGAGAAGAGAGAGAGAGAGAGAGAAGGAGAGGGGAAGGAGACACAGGCCTGTATATTAGAAAAAGCTTTTTACTTAAGCTATCGCTAACATGTTGCAGAGCTAAGAGGCATGGAAAATTCCACACAAATCAGGGATTCCCCAACCACAGGCAGTGCATACAGAGTGACTCCAAAATGGCTGCATCCACTTTCATAAGAAATAATATTTATTACAAGGACAGAAAGATCCTATTTAGAAATATTAAAGCAAGTATTTATTAGATTCACATCAAGTCCCCAGCTTCCCCCTCCCCCAGCAGGAATAAGTACTAAAAATATTTCGGTTCTGATCATTCTATTAACATATGTGCAAGTTGAAATGATCCAATTTGCCACGGGAGAATATACCGAAGAAAAAAAAACTATGTATATATTCACAAGTCTTATGAAAGGGTTAGATATATGTTAATATCCAAAAAGATCATAAATTTAGAGCTGGAAGGGACCTTAGAGGTCATTTAGTCTAACTCTCTCATTTTACAGAAGAAACTGAAGCCCACAAAGGTTAAAAGACTTGTTCAACATCATGCAGGTAGCAAATTGCAGTTGGGATTCAAACCAAGGTGTTCTAACTCTAAGTCCTATGCTCTTTCCACTGAACCACGATGCTTCTGACAAAGACATTCTATTGATTCCTGGGTCCCTGTTAACAGACAAAAGCCACTACTTACATACTTCTTTTTTAAAAAAAAAGTCTCTTCTAAGCAAAAATACTTACATTTTTAAAAAATTCAAGTAAATCCCTTAAGAAACATTTCAAGCAAGTTCATTAAAAATTTCCAATCAGCTGAGCCCTATGTCTACCCTTCTGATTTGAGTCTGACTCAAAATTTCACTTTGAAGCTGATAAACACACAGAAGAACTAAAAGGAAAAAAATTCCACTCTGAATTGATGGAAGTGGGTGGAGGAGGAGAGATCATATTCCAGTAGTGAGCCTATTACTTCATGTGTACAAAAAGAACTAAATGTACCCTTAACATTTGGCCAAATCATTCCACATGTCTCTATAACCTGAACTCCAGCCCAGTTACAGAGTATCTGAGCTTATTTCAACTACCAAGAGTCTAAAGAACTACCCTGGAGTCAAAAGAACTTGACTTGGGCTCAAAAATATTCACAGGAAACCTACAGTAGCCAGAAGAGATCCTTAATATTCTCTTTCATAGAGAACCTGAATTACTATGTTGTTTCATGTGAATAGATTTTTACCTTCTTCTCTATCTTCCTTGATCCTTTTCTCCTAGTTTCCAAAGTGGGAACACAGGAAAGAAGGGTGAGCACAATCTAAATACTTAATAACTTAGTAACAAATCTCTTATACACTGACCAGAAAAGTAGGCCCAAGTCTGACTTCTCTAGGAGGAGTTAGTCTTTCCTCCAGTCTTGACTTAAGTAGTGGTGACTTCTACGGAGTGGAAATGGTCTCCACAGACAGTAGAACTTTAAATCAGTTCTTCCATTGTCTGACTGGAGGAAAGATCTAAATTCTCTGGTTCCCAAGATAGTGTGCTTTCTCCTAAAAGCTACTAAAAATGTATTCAAGTCAAGGAGGAAACTTTGAAGCAGACTAATTCAGGTTCTATCACTTGCTTATTCTTTTCAAAATCCTCCAATAGTCTTCTCTTTTCATCCTACTTGATAGTACAGCCTGTAAAAGATGACCTCCAAACAAACCACAACAGATCCGTAGGTATCTCTGTGATCTATTTTGCAAAGAAATAACTACATGAAATTATTATGTAGTTTAAGAGGCTGACTGGAATACTGGAACAAGCAGTGCATTTGGAGTCAGAAGTCATGGCATCACATCCCGGTTCCATTTTCTACTTATATAACTTAGGGAAGTTCAGTTTACTTCTCTGGACCTCAACTTTCTCACCTATAAATTAAAAGGGTTGGAATAAATGACCTCCAGGATCTCTTCTGACTCTAAATCCTATAATACTTTTAATTTCACTGTGATAACCCATTTTAATATGATGTACAACTCTCTCTATCGTCCAGAAACCTTTGCAAATTAATATCTGGTAACATTAATTATACTGAGGGATGTGTGTGAAAGGCTATTTAGGAAAGAGGAAAACGGAAGGTTCTGAATGTGTAGAGAGTAAAGGATGGGAAAAATATGTTTTTACAGGCAGCAATAAAATTATATGCACCACTGCTAGGCTTAAGTATTCCATCACCTGGCATCAACACATACAATAAAGTCTGCCTGAACCCCTGTTAGGCAAAAATTCTCTTGGCATTTTTATTTGTAATTCTCTTAAGCTGTTTTTTGGGGTTATAATTATTTGTACATAAATTTTACCTCTCCCACTAGACTATAAAATGAAAAGGAGAATTGAGGGAAGAGAGAACCCTGGCAAAGCCATGTCCAAGAGCTTTGCATCCATGAGGGCTCAAAAGCAGAGAGCCAGTTTTAGCCCTTTTTGTATCCTTTTTCCTCAGGGCTTAGGAATGCTTGACGCAAGAGACATGCAAGTCACTCTCCCTTGCAAAGAGCAAGAGCTCAAAAATTTTTTTGTTAAATGAATACAAACTGTAAGGAGTTTAAAGAGGCATGCCAACCTTGGATTTAAATTCGGAATGAGGTTTAAAACAGTTTTCGATCACTTGAGTTTTTTAAATATTTAAATCCCTGGGGAGAAGAAAATGACAAC